AACTAGCTTCCTTTTAACTGGAGAATGCGTGTTGGTATATGTGATGATGCACCACATTGTTTTCCCCACCTGTCTAGATCCTAGGTCCGCCCAGAGCCAGGCCCATTTCCAAAGGTGGCAGCAGAGTCTGGAGGGAATTACACACTGAATTTCAGCACCAGTTTCTTCCACTTCCCAGTGGCCTTTGTGCCCTGGGATGGGTGTTTTGGGGGGGAAGACAAGGAAGCAGGGTCTGGCTGTGCCTCTTGAGCAGAGGTGACAGGCAGGCAAGCCCTCACAGGATGTCATCTCAAGGTGGGGACAGGAGTGAAGGGGAAAGGTAAAGGGACCAGGAAAGGCAATAAAGAAAACAGGCGCTTCTCTGCATTCATACTCGAGACACGGTTTCTCCCATCTCCTGGGGCTGATGGTCTGGGCAGGGGCACTGAGGACTTCACGGATGATTGAAGTAGAGTCCATCACTCAAGTGCAGCCTTTGTTTAGGAGGAACTTGGAAGAGCAACGTACGGCTGATGCGGACTAGGAGGGGGGAGCTGCACCTCAAATGAAATGGCTGGAGAGGAGCACACACCAACACTGGGAATGGGATCAAGAAGTCAGGTCCAACACAGTGATCCAGGGCACCAGCAGCTGGCTCAGGCATCCTCCCCAGCATAGGAATGCCTGGAAGGTCTGGCTGGGGTATGGGAGCATCTGGGGCTGCAGTGGTAGGGGCGTTGCCAGCAGATCCAGGGCAGTGATTCTTCCCCTTGATTCTGCACTGGTGAGGCCACATCTGGAGTCCTGTGTCCAGTTGCGGGCCCCCCATTGCAGAAAGGATGTGGACAAATTGGAGAGTTCAGCAGAGGGCAACAAAAATGGTTGGGGGGCTGGGGCACATGACTTAGGAAGTGAGACTAAGGGGACTGGACTTCTTTAGCCTGCAGAAGAGGAGATGGGGGGGATTGAATAGCAGCCTTCATCTCCCTGCAGGGGGGTTGCAAAGAAGTTGGAGCTGGACTGTTCTCCGTGGGGGAGGATGACAGGATAAGGAGCAATGGGCTCAAATTGCAGCAAGGGAGGTTTAGTTTAGGTATTAGGAAAAGCCTCCTCACTAGGCGGGTGGTGAAGCACTGGAATGAGTTACCTAGAGAGGTGGTGGCACCTCCATCCTTGGAGGTTAAGGCCCATCTTGACAAAGTGTTGGCTGGGATGATGTAGTTGGGGCTGGTCCTGCTTTAAGCAGGAGATTGGACTAGATGTGATCTCCAGAGGTACCTTCAACCCTCATTTTCTATGATTCTATGTATTTCTGGCTTGATCCAGTGCATAAGTTGTCCCCCTTCCTCCTGCATCATTTGCACACACACTGGAAGGAGCCTGCATCACATAAAATACTTTTCTGCACAGGTGATGAACACCAGTCAGATGAAATGAAGTTCCAGAATTGAGTCTGTAGGGTCAGTTTGGGCAGGGAGCACATCCTTCTTCCACCTGGAATCTGGCCAAGAAAGTGGCACTAATTAATACCCAGTACTTAATGATAACAACAGGCTTTGAAGCTGCAAATTAGAAGCAATTAAATAACCAGGGCCAACCTCTCCACCCTGCGAAAGGCCAGGGAACCCAGCCACTCATTGCTCCTCAACCCGCACCCAGAAGCTGCTCTAGCGACCCCGAGGACGCCACTATCAGGTGGCAAAAGTCACTCTGGCAGCATCAGTCTCGGGCATGAGAATCTGAAGGCAACTACGAATAAAGCTAGCCTGACCCCTTTAATTTAATTGGTTTGAGACTAGGACCGAACCCCAGCTAGAGAGTCTTGTTCTTTTGCTCCAAGTCAGGTTGATCTTTGCATTTGGGATCAGAAAGGGATTGCTCCAGACTGAGGGGCTTTGCCTTCCTCTCCAGCAAGGAGCATGGCTCTCCTCCTGGGGTTTCTCAAGCACATTTTAACAACCCACCCGTGTCACTTGTAAATCAAGGGAAGTGATTTTTTTGCTTTATTCAGAGCCAACCAGGTTTGGGCCCCACACTTCAAGAGGGACGGGGACAGTTTGGAAAGAGTCCAGAGCAAGGCAGCAAAACCAACTGGGGCTGGGGAGACACGATTTATAAGGCAAGGTTGAAAGAACTAGGGAGAGAAGACTGAGGAGGGATTTGACATGAGTCTTCAAGTCCCTGAAGGGCGATTATAGAGAGGATGGAGATGGGCGTTCCTCTGTGGTTGTAAACGACAAGACAGGGAGCAACAGCCTCATGCTGCAATGGGGGAAATTTAGGTTGAAGATCAGAAGGAACTTCCTGACCGAGCGTGGTCCAGCACTGGAACAGGCTGGCTAGAGAAGCTGTGCAATCTCCATCCTTGAAAGTTTTCAAGAGCAGGTTGCACAGATGCTTGGCTGGGATGGTTCATTTAGGGATGATCCTACCTTGAACAAAGGGCTGGACTACATGAACTTGTCAGGTCCCTTCCAACATGACTTTCCTATCATCCAATGAACCCTTGCAGCAGTGGGACACTAATCACCTACACCCCCCTGCTTTACTGGTGGCAGGTTAGGGTGTTGGGCAATGTCTTGTAGCTGTGGAACAGGGTTGACATGCAGCTTAGCGATAGTTTCATAGTTGTTAGGGGTTGGAAGGGACCTTACAGGTCATCGGGTCCAGCCCCCCTGTGCTTAGGCAGGAAAGACTCCCGGGGTCGTTTGACCCTAGTACTTTTTCCTGCCAAGGCAGGGGGTCAGACTTGATGATCTGCTCAGGTCCCTTCCGACCCTACAAACTATGAAACTATGACCCCGGCAAGCGGGCGTCAAGATAGGTTAGGCAAGGACTGGTATAGGATGGTTTGGATAGGAAAGACCCTACCTCGAGCAGGGGGTTGGACTAGATATGACCTCCAGAGGTCTCTTCCAGCTCCACTTCTCTATGATTTAGCATCCAAGCTGAGCTAAGGTAATGGGAGCACACCCCTTTTACTGGAGAAATTGTGAAACAGTAAAAAAGAAAGAAAAAAGATGGTTATTTCATCATCAGCAAAAAAACACGGACTTGAAAGCCACCGTCAGCTTCATAGTGACAATAAAAAACACCCGAAAGCCCTAGTCCTTTGGCCACATACTCCTGTGCATCTTTCCTCAATCGCCTACTCCCCTTGGTATTAACGTGAGTTCCCAGCTGGGTAGTTACTCAGAGGAGGAAAAGCTCCTAGGAGCCAGCTGTCAGCTACCAGGAACCCAGGCAAGGAAGGGAAGTAGTTCTTTTCTTCAAACACCTCTTCCCTCCATTTACCCAAACCCCGCAAAGCATCACATTGACCACGGGCGAGCACATTTGTAACAATTTATTGAATGAGGCAATAATAGGATGGGAAAACAACAGGGATTATTCCATGCTCTGCTACTCAACTGCTTTTTTTTTCCTTTGTGGGGAGGGAGGGGAGAATCTCTCAGACTAAAAGAACGTTATTCCATCGCCAAAGAAACACGGACTTGAAAGCCACCGACAGCTTCACAACGACAATTAAAAAAAAAAAAAGAAAAAGAAAAAAAAGAATCATTAAAAAAAAGAATGAATCGGAGAACCAGGACTGCTGCTATGGAAATCTTCCCCGCCCCCTCATTAAAGTACAGAAAAAACGTATACAAAGAACATTTGATATTTTTCATATAAAACAAGTAAATACAAGAATCTGAAAACTCTCGTGAAGGCGGAGAAAGACGTGGAGAACAGTGTTAATGGCCACTTAAAATAAAAAATTAAATACCATGCAAAGCGGCACACACCGGAAGGGGTGCAGCTAAGTGGGAGAGGAGTTTGATTTGGGGTGGGGCAGGGGAACATGTTCTGTTTTTGGGAAGCAAAGGTTTGGCCCATTTGAAAGTCAAGTAAAAAAAAAAAAAGAAAAAAAAAAGAAGAAGAACAAAAAAAACCCCCAGTCACTGAAAATGCCCCAGGCCTGTTTTGGTCTGGAGGTTTTTCATGTGAAGCAGATTAAAAAAACTAGCAGCAGCAAAGCCGTGCTGGAAACGCACATACAGCAGGAGCAGGCACATGGCCTGTGGGACACGAATGGGGCTGGACGTTGGGGGGGGGCTAAGGGATGGGGTCACCCAAAAATGGGGCCACTCATGGTTTCATCCCCATGTTTCACTGAACGAGGAAGTGCACTGGTAATGGGGCCCTCTGGGCACAGGCGGGATAAGGGACCGTCTGTTCAGCGCACTCCGAGCGCTGCTCCGGTCATGCCAGCGACAGACGCGCTGCATGCGATCAGACGTACCTCTCAGCGATGTGGCTGAATGCGCTTCGGTTGCAGCGCGAGTCCTGGGGGGCAAGCTGAGGAAGGGAAGGGGGAAAAGCACAGCTCAGAGACTCCTCCACTTGCTTCATGTCCTTCCCCCTCCTTCACCCCACAGCCCGAGCCCCTCGGACTGTCTCCTTGCTCATCTGGCAGCCGTGGCAAGAAGGTAGAGAAGGCTCTCACGTGGCGGCTACATTTGGAGGGTGTGGGAGAGGCAAGTCCAGGTCTCTGGCGTGGATCTGGGGGACGGGGAGGGAGAGACGAGGGAGTGCGGTGAGGATCTCTCCGCTGGCTTTGCCCCAGGACTTTCCTCTTTATTGAGAGCCAGGTGCTGCCTCCAAGGACGTCGCTACCCCTTCGCCAGGCTGCTGCTGGGCCTCCGCTGCTGGGCACGTGCCTTCCAAGACGGGCTGCTCCCAAACTGTCTCTCTTGAAGTCCATGTTAAAATCTTTGTAACCTAATTTGCAAAGTGGGGGTGGCCAGGAGCCACAGCGGGAGTTGCGGCGGCACTGACTTAGCGTGAGCAGAACGGTCTCCAACCGGGGGGCACTGTGACTTCTTGTTGGGGCGGAGGGACACAGGAGGGAGTGAGTCTTGCCAATCTCACCCTGATTCAGAGGGAGATATTTCATGCGGGGTGGAGGGCTGGGGGTCGGGGGG